CACAGAGAGCAAACTTTTGCACCAAAAACATTCAGGTCATGCTGCCATGGGCTATCCAAAACCCACAGCAAATACTCTTCTCTGAGCATTTCTCAGCCCAGGAGGAAAGCAGTAGCCACACACACTCTCTCTAGATAGATTTGATCCTACTGTTTTCATGGCAAATGTCCTAGAAAGTGTAATTGACCAAATGTATCAAAGTAATAGTTTTCTCGAGTGCCTTTTTTTAAACAGGCCAGTAATATTTCACTCTAAAATCTTGTCCTGGACCTGAATGAAACAACTTGTTTGGAAGCTATGAGATATCATGGGCATGAAAACAACACATTGCCTGTTCATGGCACAAGTCCTAAGAACAAAAGCAAAGACAGTCTATCAAAAAGAACAGCTTTTTCTCTCCAAAGACAGAAATCCATGGCACTCCAAGAAGGTCAACAAGCTTGTCCCTCACGCCAATGTCACCATCCAAATCAGCATTTGAAGGAAAAGTGCAAGGAAGAGATCAGACCTTTCAAACATGTCAATATTTACTAAACGGGATCTATAGAGACAAAGTCCTTCATACGATCCCTTTAGTGTAATGAGAACCAACTAACTCCCAAGCCTATTAAATTTGTAAGGGACTCAAACATTGGACTTCACCACCAATTATTTGCATGACGCACGCACTCACCACACTTACAAGTTATATGCAGCTGGGAACTTCTTCTCATGCTGCTCAAAAGCTGGCCAAGTTGGCCTGCCATTAACTTCCACTGGGATAGGATTTCTTTCACTGGGTCCCACATGTAGTGCATGGGGTAAAGTACTCATTGGTGTCTGTCTCTATTCCCTGCCTGCCCCGCAAAGCAGTTCAACATGACAGAACATCACATGGCAACTCCATTACAATAATTTCTATTGTATGGGCTTGTTTTGACCCAGATTTCCAGGGTAAAGGCTTCTTGTCAGAGTTTTGTAATAGTCAGCTCACGATGAGTTTCAAGATTAGGACAGTAAACATTGTACAAACTTTCCATCATCTCCAAGCCACTTTCCATCATCTATCAGAAGTCCTGGTTAACA